CAAGTATGAACGGATACGAGCCCACCCTTCCAAACAGATACAGAATGCATCCAAAATTGTGCATCGATTGTTAGTGATGCAGCCCATCATGCGTGAAATTATAAATGATTCTGGACGTAGTTATGCGGAATGTCCTAAGTTAATACCCAACACGAGAACTAAAAGAACTGCGTAGTTCACACACCTAATTTGCAATTGTATCTGCGATTGGGTATGCGACAAATGGCCACGTACATTCAAAATGAATATAAACCTGCGTACCTCAGCAAGAAACGAGTCTGAGAAAGACATCTTCAGACTCATGAGCGATGCTGTTTTCGGCATGACTAAAGAGAATCTTCGGAAACGAATCAGTGTCGACATTTCATATGATAGTGAAAAAGACATACTTTGCAGCCCTATCACTAACCCTGCTTTCTAGTTCCGGAAGACCTTTTGATGGTTGACTCATTGCCATACACAGTAAAAAGTCGAAGGTGAAGCTGACAAAGCATATATGCGTTGACGCGTCTGTGTTGGGCTTATCCCATGTGCTCATGTACTAGTTTTATTATGATATGATCAAACCGTGGTTACGGCGGCAACATCACGATGCCGTACACAGTCACAGACACGCCTTTGATGCATATTACTAAGAAAGATGTGGACGCAGATTTAGATCAAAATATCTCAGGTACATGAGTTGACACCTAATAATCACCCACTGTCAAGTAACGAACATACGGAAAAAAAATGTTCGTAAGTGGAAAGGATAGTTCTAAGGTTAACCTATCGAGAAATAACGAGGTCCCCGCCCGTAAAAAAAGTTTCGATTGTGGTTGGATCCGGCAAAAGCAACAAGAAGGTGAAAGGAGTTTCACGCGTTGCGTGCAGAAAATCTTCGTAATAAATCAATGTACCTTACTGTATCAGTAGCACTAACCTGCCTGCCTTCTAAATTCTCCAGTGCACACAAATGCCAACCACAATGTTTTCGAGTGCGTTTAATAGAGATGATTTTGAAATAATTTTGTGTATAATGGTGTCTGCCTTCTGTCTAGTCGACTCATCATATTTTTAACCTAATAATGCGTGAATTTTCACTATTTGGTGTTTGTTATAACTTTTAGATGTCGTATTACCTGAGGCCTCATCGAAAATTCATGCGCGAACTGAATAACCGTTCTGCAAAATCCATTTAATTCATAGCCTGGTCAAAATATATTTTAGCGTATCCAACTTGAACAAGCACATTCTGCTTTGTTAACAACGCGTCTCATAGAAATATTTTGCCTTGATCTACCAGTAACAGTCAGGCCATGTTATTGGTAAACATATGCGAATACGTATAAACGTGCCTACAATACGTGCTAAATCATAAGACGTCACCGCGATTTTTGCATTTGCTGGCAGCATCTACAATGACTAAGGCAGTACATACGATCCTGAATGAGAACAAAAGATCAGACTGATGAACTTCGTTGGTTGTCATCACATGAAACCTTTCACAGGAAATCATTATTGATACTGTTGAATAAACGTGCCACAACAATTGTCTAATCAATCATGCTAGAAAACACCGTGGGTGATTGCAACGCTCGCTATATTTTAACAGCAGATTCGAGAACCATAGCGATGATGTAGCAAATCTTATCAATGTTTATTTTACTAATATCCTTTATTTCAAAGTGCAGTCTTAGACTTCATAATTCTTTGATGATCCATCTGGCAATTTTTACTCCGATTGTAGGATTGACAGCGATCATGAAATCTATATCAAAATATTGATGTGCACGAACATCGCTTGAAGCATGGTACGCTAGATCATGTTGATAAAATGCAGCCTCCAAACAGTTTACAGGTATTTTGTTTGGTTGCTAGAATCAAGTCGTATATTCAGTCTTGTACCTGGTCCATAGTAATTGTATCCAAAAAGTGTTTTTAACAGCGTTTTTGCTCTACGATGTTCCTGGTAGCTTTCTTATTTCAGAAGCGAAATTTCAGCCGCCAAGTTTTATTCAAAATGTCATTTGCGTTTCTTTGTAAACCTCGGCCGTCGGCCCACACACCTAAACTTCTTTGTTCCACATCGAACACATGTTGTGGTTATAACAGCTCTATCAATGCGTGTTTGGACCCGTGTTGGATTTGCAGTATGTAGTTTTGTGCGGCATTGCATACAACACGAAGAATAATATGGTCTATTTTTACCTTCCCTGACGTTGTTGCGCAGTCAATGGCTAAACCTTAAAGCACGGTGACAAGTTTCTAAAGTCATTTCCCGCATTAATCATCGGCCATACCGGATAACTGAATATCCAGTTGTCGTTGAATCTGATTTTGAGATGGTTAAAGTGCGCTCGAATGAAAATAATTGCGCCGTGAGCAGACTATCAAACTTGTCATGATGTACTCAGAGATTTTATGGTAGACCTTCAGTAATAGATAAAAGGCATATCTTCCACCAATGATTGCTTTTCCATTGTCGATGAAGATCATGCTACAGACGACGTTGATAACTAGCAGTGATTATCTTGTTGTATACAACGACGTGATACTTGAACACCAAGATAATGCCGAGATAATATCGTCCTGAGGTTAACACTGACGTGATCTATGTCATACAACGATACTCACACATGTCTAAAGTTATCCAAGACAACAGTAACATGCTGATGATATTTTGAGACACTTTTTTGGTGTGCAACCGACGATTCGTGGGAATCGTTTCGGAATATGTTTGCAGAGGTCACCTAGGAAACGTATAGTTTCTTTACTATTGAATTCACTGGTGTGACACGCGAGTATGGCACAGATCTGGACGTTGAATTTAGGCGATTATGATGAATATAGTGCTTAAACCTGCCTTATGATACGATGGAAGATTATGTGGAGAGACGCTATAAAACTGTCCTCATACACATGTAAATGATGCGTAATGTTTTATCCAAGCAGCTGTGTCAAAGATATGATAGTCGTGGCAAACTCCAAGGGATGATCTCACAGACGACTTTGTAAAAACTATTTGCACCGCTTATTAAACCCAATCCAAGGCGCAAGGATAAAGAGACGTAGAAACCGTCTTTGCATTGGTATATCAGTTTTCCAGGACAATCTCAAATACTGAACAATTGCCTGCGTTCCATGTATGCCTAGAGGCAGCTCATACAATCATCGCCACCCAAGAGCAAGTAACTGTTGTCACTTCCTGGAATATTTAACGAACTAGGCCACAAAGAAACTCAGGCCGATGAAGTAGAACCTACAGCTTTTTTCCATAGCGACAGAAAGAAAGTAAACGAATCATAAAAGAAACGCTCTAAGAGGGTAACATTCTCAATCTGGGCTCCTAGGCTATCTCGGGAAAAGTTCGCAACGAATGGGGCATTAAATGATGAGTAGAACAAATCTTCAGCTACTGATTGTAAATATAAAGAACTGCTGAGCCTGTGGTAAAAACAAGTATTTAGAAAAATCCTTTGAAGAACAGCTATCGGAAGAAGAATACACTAGTGCAGGTATCCGTTTGCCAATTTTGCATTGTTGATTACGAGAAAGCAAGCCATGAGCAAATGGATAGGTTGGAAATGCTCGTGGAGCTGTTCGCATGGGCAACAACGCACAAGAAATTAATGTAGCCTCATCGATTTATTAATGTTTCCATACAACAACATCATGGACCATGGGATGTTTCGCGAGTTGAATCATGAACTTATTGATAACACCGATGATGTTTTCTGAGACAATTCCTTGCAAAAACATTGTTGTGATGCAGCGTGTTGCTGTAAGTACAAGTCACTATTATAAGCTAGCTTTCTAAGGTATCGAAGTACTCTATTTATTTGATACATTCATTTGAACGTATTCCTCTTTCCCCTAGCAAGAACATGGAGAAAACACATTAAATATGATCAATAATGAAGCACTATGGATTAAGGCACGATACATTTAATAGACAGGTATTGTTATAGGGACCGAGTTGTCGTATATCGTGGTAAAGATAAAATCTTTAGTTGCAAAATAAATGTAGAGATCGAATTGATAAGATTATGTTTCTTTGATAAGTATCAATATCATTTAATTAATTATGTATTTAATTTCTGTATAACTGTTGCAATATCAGTTATATGCCATCCCATTGCTACTCTGTTCATTTTTTAATGATAATTATAATTCTGGACCTTGCACTTCAAATAGATTTCTGTATGATAAATGACATGATGAAAATCACATAATGCTCAAAAGAAAGAAAATGGTTGTGGCATTATTTTACAGATACTATTTAATACAGTGCCTTATTTCAGGATACTCCGTTCTCTAGCTATGAAAACTTATGGCCTTTGAGGTGACCCCCTTTTGTGCCCAAACTTTTAAAAGATTTTACATCTGTGTGGTTTCTGCCATAGTCTTTTGCTTTAGGTATATGTAAAGTTTGAAGGAAAAAAAGCATGTAGTAATTTAGATTGGGTTCCTGTTATTATTTTAATAGAGGCATAATTATTTGAATACCCGTTTATGTTCTGATTCCGGTGCTAAAGGTTTAATTTATTCTGCTTTGCACTTAATTACTCAATGTATTTTACCTTTCGACTGGTTTCTTTGCCATGTTATATTTAGTTCAGGTGGTACTCAGGTGGTACTTGCTGGAGGATCTGTTTTTTCTCTAGAGTTTGATATAGATGAATATGTTATATTGTTTTTGTCCTCTGCAGTCTATTTATGTATCTGTTTGGTTTGAACTGGCCTATATAGGTCAAATTTCCCAGTTTTGTGTGTGTGTGTGTGTGTTTGTGTGTGTGTGTGTGAGAGAGAGAGAGATTTTAACGTAGCCTTAACAATTTTACAATGTCTGCATTGTGACACTTTATTGTGATACACTCGGGCATAATGCGACAGACAGGTGGCATGATGTCCCACCCAGGCACATTATCACATTATCCTGACACCAGGCCTACCAGTCCAAACACTAATGTCTTAATGCTGAGCGAGTGGCGCGGCAGCTTTTATTATCATTTTTGAAAGTACTTGGCCTGGTTTTGAACCAGCGACCTCCCGCATCCGAGGCGGACGCTCTAACCACTAGGCCACCAGAGCAAAAAAAAAGTAATTAAAGATTTCAGTACTTGGTAAAGGAGAAAAATAAAATGAAGTGACGGTGGAGCATATTGACTTAGGACCGATATAGGTGGGCTGTCTCCCAGAGCACTAGATGCGGAATTTGGTGTGATCTTCATCTCCATCCCTATTGCACAAGGCCGTACACCACTTCCCTCAATGTATTTGAGCAAGGTTTATTTTGCCTTGCATTTTGCTTATATAAATTTTATGTTTGTGTAGTGTATGAGAGACAAAGTATGTATATTTTTCTTTTTGTTTGCATGCGTATAAGCTTATTTGAGGGATGGAATTTCTCTCAGTTGTGAGAGCTGTGCGTCTGTTTTATCCACTTTGCTAATGTCTTATGTTCATGCATGTTATCATCTGTTATATGGACCTGTAAATATTCATCTAGTTAGACGTCTAGAGAATATCGACGTTTATAGAATGTCACTTTACCAGTAACCCACGTATTGTTTAGATAGTTATACATGTAGTTTTGCTTGTGTTCTCCCTAAATTTGACCCACTTTCCTAATTCGTGCCCACTGTACTACTGGGGCAAAAATTTAACTTAATTTTTTTTTTATTTTTTAATAGTTGATTTAGTTTCCTATGAACCATAATTTTGATTCGTCTATTTTGTTTCTTTACATCTCTGTTTTCGACCGTATATCCGACAAAAATATGCAAACAGCCTGCCCATGGAAATTGCTTGTTTCTGGTCAAGTTTCTTATTATATTTATTATGTTTGTTATTTTACGTTCGCTGCAGATACGGAAAGTGCATACTAATTCTTATTTTGACTAAAATATGTATTCACTTCGGAGGTAAATAAATGTAATTTCTCTCACCATATGAAACGTATATTTTTCTTTCAACTAAGCTAATAATTGCATTAGTTAAGTCTATCGCATTGGTTATATATATATATATATATATATATATATATATATATATATATATATATATATATATATATATATATATATATATATATATATGTACGTACGTACGTATGTACGTACGTACGTATGTATGTATGTATGTATGTATGTATGTATGTATGTATGTATGTATGTATGTATGTATGTATGTATGTATGTATGTATGTATGTATGTATGTATGTATGTATGTATGTATGTATAAAGTCTTTGCGATCTGTACTCTTTCCATAAAATTTAGTGAGGAATACTTCCATATTTCTGAGTGATCTGTGATGTTGCCTAATGCCAGCTTATATCTTGACTTAATCGCGTCTTTTGCACACATTATTACTAAAGCTGTTACTTGAACATCAATGAGGCCTGGCGATAGTCCTAAATGGTTCATCTAGACGATTTCGGATTATTAAAATTTCTGTTTTAGCATTCCTTTATTTTGGAGCCTGAAGTATACCCGAAGTCATAGAATTCTTTGAATATTTATATGATAGCACATCTTTGAGAAAAGTTTAAATCATCTGAGTTTTGTACTATTTGAAGTTCAAGTATTAAATTTGGTTTATTAATACATTGCTTGTCTTTGTTGTTTTCTTATTTTTCTACGTAGTATATCTATGTCCATTATCTATAGAATCATAGAAACTATTTTGGTGCTTGCTCCATTTACTTGTTCTGAGGGAGAATATATTTGTTGGAATTATTTTGACCCACTTGCATAAATGACACCTGTTATTGATATGCATATCTCTATTTAACTTTACAACTTTATCCATGGTTATATATATATATATATATATATATATATATATATATATATATATATATATATATATATATATATATATATATATATATAATGAGACATTTTAATTGGAAGAAACCATAGTCTAATAGTCTGCCTGATATTTGTCAGGTTGTCTGTTAAAATGAAATTAACCATACCTGAACTTGGGAAATGACCTACATCCTGGTCGTTTGATTGTTGTTTAGGTTTTTATATAAAGATCAATAAAAAAAATTTCATATGAGATATAATTTGAGAGGATTTTTTTTTGAAAAATATTTATTAGAATTACAACGTACTAATTACCAATTTGGAATAAATTTGCTTTGGGATTATTGTGAATTCATTCAAAGACATCCTGTACTACATCATTGTAATACAGCAAGACTGTTCGTTAACACATTTATGAATACTGGTGGATCAACGCATTCAGTACTATAATTGGAACACTATACATTTGGCCTTGTGATCAAACTTTTAGATTATTTGGGATTTGGTTCACAATACTATAAATTAATTTTAGGTTTTCACTTTGTTTTGTAGGAAATAAATTATCTGTTGAAATTTACTAAACTTGTTGTGCTCTCTTTTTTCTTTTTTGTTAGTTTAATACATACAACATCCAAACTCGAATGTCTAAAATTTGATCTACAACGCTTTGTTCAATTCGATCAAATGTCTGTTTTTGGCCATACATATCATTACTACTTTCTCTCTTTTACTTTCTATAAAATATGATACAGTTTTTATTATTAGTGCCTTATTTGTTATGTCACTTCCCTTTCTCACAGCTACTATTATAGTTCATTATTTTTCCCATAATATTTGTAGTCTATTTTGCAAAAGTTTTACTGTAAATTTTGTAGCCTGTATTTAAAAGTGGAATGGGGCGCCAAATTTTTGATTCTTCTGTTTCACCTTCCCCCTGTATATAAAAGTAATAATTCCCTGTTTCTTTGGTTGGTTAATTCTTGGCTTACACAAATATTGTAAACAAACTTGATATAAAAATCAGACCGTTGATTCCATTCTCGAACTTAACCTAGCATCCATGGTTTTAGATTCTTCACTGATTTCTATAAATTCATTATAACATTTTTAAATATATCATTTGTAATCTTTTGTATTATATAGAGTTCTTTATAGCTGTGCATACATCCATCAATACATCTTCCCACAGAGTGTATAGTTGCATTCTTTTAAAACTTTCCTTATTATATACAGACATGCTTCTCTGAATTTTCCTGCATGTTTATGCCCTGTATTTTATGCACTTTTGTATTTTTTTTTCTTCTGTTTCTTTGTCATGTTCTGAAGCATGCATATTGTTTAATGTATTAGCACAACATATTTGCGTCTCTTTTGTAGGAGTTAGTTTTCTTCATTGCTTGTATTTTTAATTCAAGATTTGTTTTCATTGATGTGTCTGAGTTGCTGAAATATTACTGACATTTTGCAGACTGAAGTAATTAATTTTCCAAAGCCAGGGTCACATTTCCCCTATGTTTCTTACGTACTAACGCATTATCCTTTGAATTATTTGTATGAATCATTGTGCACGATCTTATCCAGTTTATTCCCATTTCTGATGCATAAAATTGATCAAAAAGGCTACTTTTGTTATTTTTTATAGTTGTGTGTAAATTCAAGCATAGGCCCATATAATTCCCTTTATAATGTCCCTTAGAACTTTGGACTCGATTTTCTGAGACCGTGTGGACAGAATTGAAAGCTGTTCTTCTGTTTATTTCTTCATTTACCCAATTACCCCCCCCCATGGGGTAGAGTTGTTTATAATCTGTCATATGTTTATAAATTCCTTCTTTCTTCTATTATAACCAGATGCTGCATACTCTTTCATAATGTGTCAAGCATACATTGACCGGTGTAGTAGTTCTGGTGTACTAGTCTTCCTTTTATGAACTCTTTGCTTGTTATCACTTCCCATGTTATCGTTAGGTAAGTGTTCTTTGTTATAATTGCCATCTCCATATTATTATCAGTATGGATATTACTACATTAAGTTTATCTTAGTTTTTTACAAATCAACTTTGTGTCTATTGAGTTCATTTCTTGGAGTAATATTAAATCGTATTCTTTCGCTATGATGTTTACTTCATCCACTTTAATTTTGGTCTTATTAACCTACAATGATTCCAATTAAGGTGGTTAAGTTCTTTATTGTTGAATGCACTTGTGTTTTGTCTTTTATAAGTCTTAGTTATGTTTTATTTGTTGTTAAGCTTTCTTACTACGGTATTCTTCTAGTTTTGTTTTCTGCTTGCTAGTATCAGAATTCTCGGCAGAGATGATACCATCGCTTTCAGAGGTGATCCATATTGCCTAAGAATTTCTTCATTTTGTTTCCTCACCCCCACCCCGATTGGAATTCCGTCAATGTAGTAGTAAGCTTCTTTCTTTTCTGGTGTCGCTGTTAATGAGCTTGTTTTTCTCTTCAGTTGCGAGGGTTCCTCAACTAGGGACATGTGCATATTTTGTTTTTCTGTTTGATTATTTGGGGTTTCTTCAACCAAGGACCCCGTTTCCTCTTCCTTATTAAAGTGTCTACTGATACTAATTCACCTTGGAGGGTCAGTTCTTCCAGTGTGTAGAATGGAGCTGTATCCTGTTCTATTAATAGCAGCGGATTTTTCTTGTTCTTAAAAGCTTCTATGTTTGGTTTTGTTTCTCCTTCCTCCTTGAATTTCAAATGGTGCTTTAAATTAGTTCGTGAAATCTTCACCTTTGAGAGTAGTTTCCTTAACAGATGGTACTTCCTGTTGTGTCTTTCTTTCTATTTCAGTTTTTTAGTCTGAGTCTGGACTTGTTCTTTTTTCCGCCACAGTATTAATTGTCGAATTGACACAGGCCCTTTAGGTTTGCAAGGTAATGGATTTTGCATTCTCTGGGTGAGCCATGTACACATCCCCAATACCATAATACGACTAAAACGCCGTTTTTTTAGAGAACGAGAGGGAGCTTTCTCTATATTCATTGTTATTGTCGGTGTCCCCAAGGTGTGGCCTATTTCTCTCTTATTACTTTCAGCTCTAACTTTTTCTCATATTTCTCTTTCAGCTTTATTTCCCCTTATATCCATTGGAAAGACCAAAAAGTGTAATACTATCGTTTTATTTTTAACTTCTCTTTGTTCTGGGCAGGGGGCATGCTTATTGATATACTTTTTTCCTTTCACTTCTACAATTTTCCTATTAGGAGGACTGGCGTTGTAAGTCAGTTATGTCTTCAATTACAGATCTTTTGCCGAC